TACTGCCCCTGGCTCCAGTCATCTTTGACAGGCAGCCAGGAGCAGATAAATATTAATTTTCTATTTTTTTAGGGGCCCCATAGGCTGCATAGAATGGCTTGGAGGGCCAGATCCAACCCGTGAGCTGTATTTGCCCACCCCTGTGTTAGAGGGTCTTGCTTTGCTCAGGGTCAGATCAATCAAATTGGGGATCAAGAGATAATTTGACCTCATGGCCAGATTGGCAAGGACTGTGGGTTTTTTTGCCTTCCTCTATCATATGGGCACATGGTCCTCTGTGGATCTCTTGAGCTTATTTAATAATTGCTGTCCTTGCAGTGGCAGAATATTGACAGTGCTTTTGTCTCCCTGCTTTAAATGTGTCAAGTTACAGTTGATGTTTTGATCATGGCGCTTGGTAGTTTTACAAGTGGGTAGTTCACAACATTGTAAATAATTGGTTAGTGGGGATAATCTTGCCTTAGGCAAGGGGTTTGATTAGATCATCTCCTGAGATCTCTTCCAGCCCTACTTTGATTCTAAGATTCTAAGTTTATGAATAGGGATATATGATGTGAATGACCATGTTAGCAGGAGGCTGAACTCGATGATGGAGGAGATCCTTCCCAGTCTCATTTTCCTGTGTTCTGATATTAAATAGTAATGCAGTCACAGAATCCCAATCAGAATAATACAAAGAGCAGCCTAGATATATGACAGGTGACACAGAAGATTTATGTATAAACATAGTAACAAGGAGTCAACTGTGCACAACTATTTACTCATTTGGCGAGAATACGTTTTATAATCCATAGAATTCAGAACATGAGGCTACGTGCTTATGCCACTGCAGACCAATACAGATTTAGGTGAAATCTCAGGAAAAGAGTCCTAAGTGTAAGAAAGGTAGGACAACAAAACAAGCTGTCCAGGGAATCTTCTTAATTAGAAAGGGTCAAGAAAAAGCTGGATCAGCATGTGTCTGGGATGTTTTTAAAATAGGGGATGCTGCATTTGTACCAATTGTACTGGATGACCCTGGGGGCCCCTCCCAAACCTGTGATTCTAAGGGACTACATAATTAAAATGGCAATAACAACATATTATTTAGAACTTGACCATATGTTAAAAATACATATTGAAGAAAATAATTATAAAAAGAGGTGTGATTCACCAGTGGATCAAGATTCAGAACAGGATTTGATTAATAAAATATACCAACTCTGCTGTACTTTTTCCCACCAGTCCACCATATGCAGCCCCCAAGGAGTTAATTTGCAGCCCCTGAGCTCCCAGCTGCTTCAGCTGCTGCTGAAGTTCTCATCTTCCCCTCCTTCCTCCTGCTTCTGCTGCCTGCCCCTGTCCTAGGGGGAGGGTGGCATGGCCTTGGGAGCTAGTGGTCAGACAGCTGGGAGGGACCTGAGAACCTGACATGGCACACCAACAAGGTACGAGGGGAGGGGGCATCTGCCATCTGGCCTGGCAGGGGAGGGGAGAGGGGTGTTATGTGGCCCCTGGGGCTGCAGTGCTTGCAGCCCGCAGTCACTGAGAAGTTAGACATCCGTGTTCTAAATGAATCTGATTAAAAGCCAGGATCAAAATTAACACAGCAGCTTAAACTATTTATTGTCTGCTTTTTGCCCCTTTTGTGTTTTTCAAAGGGGAGTGCCAGGGAAATTAACCCTCTCTGCCTATATATGTTTTCATATCCCAGACTAAAAGCCCTAATTGGAGCCTCTGTCAGCTGGACAGATGGCACCATCACTTAAAATAATTTAGTAACCATAATGGCCCTGCTTTTCCCATCACTCATACTAATTTTAAATGGATATACTTTCATTAGTTTAGGGGACTTAGCCATGACTTAAAGCTGGTCTAAATAAAAGTAGAAACAAGCCCATTATTTTCATGCAACTTGGTAAGTCATTTAGCCAAACTGATTCTCAGCATGGTAAAGTCCTGTTCTGGCTCAGTAGCTGCTGCCCTTTTTATTTTTTAACCTATATGCTGTAAAGTAACTATACATATTAATATTTTTATAGAAAGGTCTAGACCTTTTGAAACATTTATTGGGCGATTTGCTGCAGTGAATTCCATATGCAAATTATTAACAGTCTCCATTAAGGGATTCCCTCTTACAGATGGGTACATTTCCATACATCCTTAAATACTAACTATATTCAGGGTTGGAAGAATATTGCTGACATGTGACTGGTTTGCAGTATTTCTCTTTCAATGTTACTGCTGTCATCAAATAGGAGTGATTCCTCACTGACTGATTTTTGCAGGAATGCCTGTTAGGACCTTTTTTGTATGCCTGCGTGTTTGGCTGTCTTTCACTATCACTTCTCCTGCACACATAGTCAATACAATGGGAAAACAGAATGAGGCTCTACGGGGCTTCTTATTCCTAGTTTCAGTGTGTAAGGTAAGGTGATCTTTTCAAGCTACCAAAGGACAAGTAGCAAGGAAGGGAGAAAGGAGTCTGGAGGAGAAAACCAGTTCAAGAGGGGCCACTGCCAGGTGATGCTTACAACATGCAAGAAGCCATGCACTGCAAACCTTCCATCCTGGATTGCCATGACGAGCCAGTAATAACACATTTTGATGAAGCAATAGAGCAGCACTGTGATCCTATCAGTGGGAGCCAGAATCACCCTTCATACTCACAAGGGACACACCAACAGTGTCCGCATTGACATACAAAACAGAGGAAACCACTGTTCCTTACACCCAAGAACTCTTAATCCATTATCTTTTTCTTTTATGTCTGCCCAGCACCTAGCAACATGGGGTCCTGGGCCTTAGTTGCTACTGTAGTGCAAATTAATTTATGCTAATAACCCCCCATCTCTTAATCTGGGCTCCTTTTGGGTCAGTATCAAGGGTCTAATTATAAGCCCAAGAGGGAGCAGAAAGTTACACCCATTATGTTTTAGAAGCCTCTGAAAGTCCCCTAAAATACCTCGTTCACTGGTTTATGATGTTTTGACTCTCTTGTTCAACAGTGAATATTGGTTATCCTGCCCCTTAGGGCAGAGGTAGGCAGCCCCCCACACGGGTGCCAGAGCACAGCATGCAAAAGCATTTTGCTTGTCATGTGCGCCTTGTGGCTCCCCTGCCATCTGCCCCTGGCATACCAACATTTTACAAACTGAGGTTGTGGGTGTTTTTGGCACTCTGTCCAAAAATGTTGCCAACCTCTAAGGTAATGCTTAGTAGGAAATCACCTGCTTTAGAGGCAAATTATTTTTCCGACAGCTTTTTAAAAAGCTAGTTATTTAAAACTGCTTGATAAATTGACACAGATAGCGAGATGTTCAGAAGATGTGTGAAACTGACAGTCACCATTCATCGCATGGCTATAATGAGACTATCCACAACACAGCATTTTACCTGTACCTAAGCTTCTGAGTTACCATTGCTAAATGGTTTCAACAGAAGTAGAGAGTTGAATTAATAGAGAATGGCATGTTACATTGCACCATAGAAGAGAGCAAGGCTAGGTCTGGTACAAATGCCAATTCCACAAAGCACGTGCTGAAAATGAACCATTTATTTAAACGTTTGGTTGGGTTGGGATTCCAAGGAACAACACAGAAGACAGTTTGAAAAACTCCAGATGTTCAGGGGTTGGTTTGGTTCACAACCCCAAAGCCTGGATGCTTGTCTGACCCTCTGGCATTAGCAATGTTAGGCTGGAACAACAACCAGCTTTCCAGTGCAATCCCTGCTAATTTCTTTCCATAACTGTACCTGAAAAGATGAGCAATTTTCCACCTCCCTGATGTGGATAACTGTAGCACTTTCCCTTCGCAGTCCTTTGTCAGAACTAGGAAGTGAATGGGACCTCAGGCATGAAAAATATATTTTTTTTAAAGTTGGGCAAAATCTTGATATATGTCAGAAGTTTGAGTGTATTACCTAGAATCCTCCAAAATGGCCTAACCATCCTTACAGTGGTTCTTGTTATATAGCTTTCACACAAAGCTATCACACTTTAGGTGCATATATTATTAAAAATATGATAAAGCTGGCTAACAGAGAGAGAGTCCCTTGTGCTCTTCCAGATTTTGCCAGTATCCCCACTCAAACTGGCATATAACCCGAGCAATGCACTGGTGCATCAGGCCTGAGAAGTTTGACAACTACAGCTCAAGCCAATGCAGTAGGGGCAGGGAGAGAATAATGAGCATTTATTAAAACAGAGACTGCATGTAGAGCACTCAGGCTCCAAAGTGCATAAAACCACAAATCAGAACAAAGCTTTCATCTTCAGTTAGAAACTGTCTGGTTTAGTCTGCAATGCTAAAAATTCATCAATAATATTAACAAAGTTCACAGAAAAGCAGTTAAAGCACACATAAGCATTCCTGAACTATTTTTTATTTTAAGTCTCATGAAGAAAACCAAATGATGATTGTTGTCATTTGCACATTCTGTGCTTTTCATATATCAGCCAGCTGACAGGCTGTTTTCTATAGTCAGACAATTGGCTCACAGCCAAGGTACACACACACACACACACACACACACACACACACACACAAGAAAGTGATTATACAACCATGATGCTTGGAGGAAGGCTGGGGGCTACCTGTTCACTAAATCACAATATTCATTCACCCACTAAGGCATCAATCTGTGATTACCAGGAATTAAAGAAGTCCTGCTGCAGTTTTTGCATATACAAGTTTGGATTTTAACTAGTGGTAACAGAAACTTTTTTTTTTTATTGCAGATGTAGTGCAGGGAATGGTATGGATTTCAACTGTTCTGCTCTTGACAGGACTTCTGTTTGTTTTCACTAATGAAGATACATTTGCTGCACCTAGTTGTACATAACCACATAACACTATATCATTCACACACTGCAGGCTCTCTGAGTTAGAACAAAAGGACAACTGCAGCTTTTAAACAAGTTCGGTAGCATGAAGTAATCTGACCTGCTTCTCTTCGTTTCTGCTGTCCCAACCCACAGTTCTATTAATTATTTGGATTTGTATGCAAATTCCACATACCTGAATCATGATCTCAGCCTTGTCTTGTATCAAATGATGATCATCCAAGGGCACTGTGCAAATTTCATCTCTCAGGCAAGCCAGGCTCCCCCTGAAGGCCATTAGGCACTCCTGGCTCCTGATACGCCAGCCCTTTCAGCCCCTTTAATCCAGTTCATTGAAAGGAACCCATCAGCTCCACATTTCTGCAGTCCTAGAAGGAGACACCCTGCTTAAGTTGCTTTGAACCTGGCACCCTTCACTGAGAGTAAGCATCAAAACCCAAGCCCAGCCCTGCCTGGACTTGACCTTTTGCTTCTCTCTGCCGAGAAAGGTTGAAGTACTTTTGTTGTCATTGGTTTCACTGTTCTCAAAGCTCTTTCTCTTTCTGTCTTTTCCCTTTTGTTATAGGGAAAAGACAGAAAGAGGTCGGGACAACAAATAAGAGTACTAGTGTCTAAAGCTATGTCTCCAGCTGGGGAACTTTGCCTTTCCTATCCTGGTGGGAGGGTTTTTGGATCACTCAGTGGTATGGATACAATAACAAGGAAACTAGCAACTTGGAAAACAGTCTGTTTTGGAGGGTGTTCTGCTTTTGCAAAGAAGAAAAGAGCTATCCAGCAATCTTTCACTAAGGCAAGCTGATAATACCAGAGTAATTTGAGAATGAGTAATGGTTAAAGTCAACACCAAGAATGGCTTTGAAAGCAGAATTTCAGAAGGAAGTATCTGGAGGAATTTCCTGCTTCTTTGTGCAGTCTGTCTGCCAGGGCCCATTAATTAATCCCACTTGATTTTTAACATAACTCACTTTTCTCGCTGGTAAAATGATGGTAACTGCTAATGGGGAGGAAGATGAGTCATATGATTAAAGCACAGTACTGGGAAGTCAGAGGCAAGTATTTTAGTTCCCTCTGCAAAAGATACACACCATCCCCTGCAAATTAGAATTTCAAGAGTGAAGAGTATTTTTGAGCTTTTAATTTTCAGCGCCACAGAACTGGAAAAGAGAAAACCTGACTGATTATCACAAGTTCTGAGAACCTGCAGCTCCCACTGAAACCCCCAGGACAGAGGTATCTAAAGCCTCAAACTCACACTATTAAAAACTACATCTGAAAATTTAGCAACTTATTTTTCTGTGCTTCACTTCACCCTTCAGCAGGGTTGGGGTGAGATGTAATACAATATTTTCTTATTTTATAGGGGGCTTGGGATGCTTAATTTTTAAATCTCTCAGATGTGCTGCAGAACAACTAAGTAATGGTGGGGTTTTTTCTTGTGTATTTCTATAACTATTTATGTTGGACTACAAGTGGCATAGCAGTATCCTTTTACAATGACTCCAGAAGAAAAGGACTCCCCAGGTTTGTCCATTTTCGTATTACCATTAGTCTGAAAAGTTTTAATAATTAATGGGCATTTTGCACTGAGCTGATAGTTAGCATTGAAGGTTTAAGCTCAAGAAACTTTTTCTTTCATTAATGCATGTTAAGTTCCACTCAATCTCCACTTTTCTCACTCTCATTCTTTATTTGTATTGGAGTAGTCCCTTCAAGGCCTGTTTTCAGGAACCCACTCTGACAGGAAGTCTACACAAAATGCATCTGGAGGGTGGATTAAATGACCTTGCCTCACACCTCATAAAATGACCCAAGACATACCATAATTCCCTAGACATTTTCTGGGCACCATGTCTGTTGCTTTATTTAGTCTAAATAGCTTCACAGTTCTCTATGTTAGTGTATGTGCTGAGAACTTGTACCTCTGAAGCCTTCTAATGGGCAGTGTGGCTTTCAAGCATATGCTGAAACTCACATGTGCATTAACTATTTGTGAAGGTGGTGACTGTAAGATGCACCATGACCACACTTCTCTGATGATTTATGCAGTGAAAATAATTGTTGTACAAAAATACCCCCTTGCTGCCTCTTGAATGCTCCATTCACATAGACTGAAGTTTAACTACCAGGTAGGGAGCACAGTGAAAAGAGCAAGGTCAGAGAGGGTAATTTCACAAACAAAAGTATTATTCAAATCTATAGGTACAGAAAGCACCAAAGTCTAATATTGCTGTGTAAACCTATCATTGGAAAGTCTCAAATCACAGGAAGGTTGGTTGTTTGTTATTCAAACATGCAACAGTTAATTAAATGAATAGATTTCTTGTGAAAATTCTTTGGGTTTCAAAATTAAAGCTAACCTTGCCCCCAAACTCTCTGCTGGCCTATTTGAGGAATACACTTAAGTGGTGTGTCCAGACAAGCATGCGCGTGTGGGTTTGTGGCACCGTAGACCCACCTGTGGTGCTGCAAACCATCCACACCACACATGCAGGTGCTCCGTGCACTGCTAATGTGCAGCATGGGGTTATTTTTTTTACACTGGGGGATCCCGGTGTCAAAAAAGCCCATGTTAGAAAAAACCGGGGCGTTGCAAGTGAAGGCAGTATGCACCGCCCAAACCTAGAGCTTGGCTGGCTAGAGCCATGCTCTGGATCCTGGCCAGGCCCCACGTGTCCAGATTGCTGATGCTGGAATTCCAGGAGGCCCCCAGGATGCACAATAAGGCTGCTAGGGCCAGCCCAGATGTTGGCCCCAGCCTCCCCTACCCCATCCAGGGCAACTTGCTGTGTGCCAGAGCACGCGTGCAGGGGCATTCCCCAGGGACAACTAGCAGTAGCATGTATTTGTGCCACTGCTAGTTGCCTCTGGGGAATGAACACTCCCGCTCATGAGGACGCGCCCATGAAGGCCACATTTAGAGTTATAAGAATGGCCATCCCCAGCAATCCCATGGGACAGCACCCACAATGCAGGGAGCTCACAGCATGAGCAACAGCAATTCAGCACCTGTTTGCTCTCTCACTTGGTACCCTTCAGCTGGGCCTTCCAGCATAGGTGATTGGTAGGCGGGGCATGGTGAGGCATAGGCTCCCCCTGAGATTGGCCACCCCCGCTGACTTTGGCAGGTGGTTGCCACTCGCCACCCCTCTCCCCTGCTGCCGCCGGCTTCTGTAGGTGGTTGATGCTTGCCATGCCACTGCTGCTGCCAGCTTCTGCAGGTGGTTGCTGCTCACCACCACGCCAATGCCTATGCTGCTTCTGGCTTCTGCAGGTGGTTGCCACTCGCCACCTGCCCCCACCCCCACTGCTGGCTTCTGCTGGTGGTCGCCACTTGCCAATCCTACTGCCAATGCTGCCGCCCACAAATTGTGCTGATCTCAGGGAGTACCAGTTATCCATGCCTTCCACTCTTACCCTGTCTCTTGCCCAGGGTGTCAAAAATACTAGTTATGCCTCTGCTGTGCAGTAACTGATGATAGAGGGTCTACAATGCAGCTGAAAACTACCTCTGAACCTCTTTTGAATAACTTCTGCTATTTAATGCTACCCAAGTTGTGATTTTCATTTCTTTACCATTTTGGCTCAGCTATAAAAGTCCCAACTATCCTCTGAACAGGGCTCATTTTGCCAAATGGTTTGCAAACCTCAGTGAAGCAGGTCCAAGATTTAAATGCCTCTGATATGCCTGTGCAAAATGAACCAATAACATTAGCTCAAAGCCAGTAGGTGACTCTTAAGCCCCTGGTTAGTGGAACTGGAGTGGAAGAGAAAGCCACACTGTAAAATATGGCTATTGCATTTACATAGACTTAACAATGACTGTGATGTACATAAATTGTCATTACCCTTTACTGGGTAGAAACTCAAGTGCTTTTGAATAGCTTGTTATTAGTGTCTAACCTACAAAGAGATCATGACCACGCACAGATATTCAGTTTCTCCTGGGAGAGTCACTGCTCTCTCAGGAGAAACCACGAGTGTACAGATGTTCAGAATTTTTCTCCAAGGGCAAAAATGGCCACTCTGGGAGAAAAATAACCTGGGGACAAGCAGGGTTAAATCATTCCCAGGAGAGTTTCTCTTGGGAGACTGAATGCTTGTACACATTGTCTTCTGAGAGAAGCCAGAGCACAGTCCACCAGCATCCTAGGGTGCTTTGCTTTCCGCCCCCAGGAAGACGATGTGTTGCTTGCAGGACTCTATAGCTCCAGCCACGAAAGGAGCAGAACTTGCCCTCTTTACCATCCCCACATTGTGCTGCAGGGAGACACAGGTTGACCCTGAGCAGTTTGCATCAGCCAATCAGGGATGCTCTTTCTACTGCTGCCACCTTTCTTCAGACAGAATGAGAAAGCCTGTGGAGCCTGCTTATATATGTGCACAAGGGCCCCCTGGTTGCACAGTATCAACACTACAAGCTTTCTGCTATTCAAATGTCTGTTCAGGCATTTCCGCGTAAGTTTTTTCTACCAGGAAAACAAATCCAGGAGAATTCTACCAGGCATCTGAATGTGTGAGAACAGCTCATGTAATCCTTATTACACCTTAAGATAGAACATAAAGGTTTCTTTGAAAGCCAAAAATCACAAGATCTTCTAGATTCTAACTTATGTGTGCAGCTCAGTTGACAGCTGTGGTGTCTGTATATAGATACTCACTGACACAGGCATAACTGGACAGTTCTGTATCCTGAGCACCAGTGGCACATAAAGCAGCAGCTGCAGCCAAGCTGTCAATGATACTAGCTGGGCCAGCAATGTGGCAACTACTATGTATGCATCCCTTTCTACATCAGCACCTGGCACTGGTGCCCCAGTCACCCTCTCCCCCCTCCTCCCCCCCAACAAAAAACTTAGGCATGCTATTGCTCACAGATCACTATCACACGATAAGTAAAGTACAGTAAATTAGCAGAGACCTAGTGGTCAGGTTCTAATTAAACAAGATGCATAACATGTCCCTGAGATGTTGAAAGCCCTCAGCAATTATTAACTGGGAATTCAAGGTGCTTAACACGGCTCCGGGTAACCCATAATGTACACTAAAAAGGGTCTTTACAGAAGAATTAATAGCCAAGTATTCTTTTATTTATACGTCAGCTGGGCAACGCAACCAACAGTTTGTTTCTCAAGTAAGGAATCTATTTATACTTTGCCTTGCTTTCATGCATTTACTTAACTATGTCATCACCCCCACTTTTTTCAATGTTGCTTGAGGTTAGAACAGATGGGTTTCAATCTACAGAGAAGAGTCCTCCCCCCCCCCCCCC